TATGCATTAGAAAGAACAGAGTTTTCCATGGCAAAGTACTTTCAAAAGTAGCCTGGATGATTCTGAATTTAGGAAGCATTTTCAACAGAAAAATCCCTCTCCCTCCAAATATCCAATCTTCCAAAATAATTTCAAAAAAACTCTTTCTAGATTTCATCTTTCATTTTGGCACCTACCAAAAAAAGATGTAATGGCAAAATCTGATCCTGAGGAGTGCTCACCTCTTCCTCCTGGAAGTACTACTTAATACAAAACAGGCCTTAATAATGATGGAAACCTCACTGAAAAATACAAGGCAAGGCAGATGGCCGAGGAAGAAAATCTCCAGATTTGCATTAAGTGTTCTCACAGAATCCTTTAGGTTGGAAAAGAACCTTAAGATCATCAAGTCCAACCATCAATCCAACACCACCAAGCCCACTAAACCACATCTACATGTTTTTTGAATATTTCCAGTGATGGTGACTCCACCACCTCCCTGGGCAGCCTATCCCAATGTTTGACCACCCTCTCAGTAAAGAAATTTTTCCTAATATCTAGTCTAAACAAGCTAAGCAGAACTTTACTTAAAGAGAGGAAAAGAAACAAAGATCATGTCAACCATTTCTAACAAGTGACCACTCAACCGTAAGGCCCAATCAACCTCCCTATACTGAACATAGATTAAAGTAGGTATTGAAAAGAAATTAAATCTACCATGTATTGATTTTGCAGAATTACAGAAAATATCCTAAATTCCAAATTATATATATAACTATTTGCTTCGTAGTTTTAACAATTTTGGAATGACAGTGGAAGTGTGAACAGCCTTTTTTGTGTGTGTGCACGCATGTGAGAAAAAAATAGCTCCTCCTAGATCAGTAAGAATTTCAACTATCTCCTCTCACCTACAATATCAAGCTTAAAATATAAAGAGACAATTACTAGAGTAGTAAATCGAAAGTCTCTCTAACTTGAAATGCCCATACTGCAAGAGACCATTTTATGGCCAAATAAGTTAAGCGGTACTCTTCTGCTGAGAAGCTAGGAAATACAAAGGATCAACAAAAGCTTTATATGGTAGCCAAATAGCAAACATGTCCTTAAATAAATCCCCTTTACTCCACAGTTTGGACAAGCTATGCAGATATTTAAATAAACATCTCTAATAAAATTGCTTGTTCAAATCAGAACAGGCTGCCCAGGAAGTGGTTGAGTCACCATCCCTGGAAGTATTTGAAAGATGTGTAAATGTGGAACTTGGGGACATGGTTTAGTGGTGGACTTGATAATCTTAAAAGTATTTTCCAACTGAAATGATTCAATGATTCTAATTAAGTAAATGGCAATTAATAAAATGTTTAATCTATTTTCAGAATAAGAATGATTGTTTACAAGCAACAGATGATTGGTCACTCATTACAGATACTTGTCCTGATCCTTGTTTCCTTTAATCCTCTTAAATAAAGTTCTGCTTATCTGATAGATCCCTTAATGTAAATCTGAGAAGGTGGTTAAGGCCAGTTTTTATGTTAAGTAGTACTTGTAGGAAGTAAGCATTCCTAAAGATCAGATTTTGTCTCTGAATCTTTTTCAGAAGGTGCCAAAAACAAAAGCTGAAATGTTGCATGAATTCTTTTGAAACAAGCGTTCAACTTCTGGGGACCTGTCAAAGCAATTTGAGGATTTTTAACTTTTGATCAACTTCTATTCCATAATCACCCAAAGTAGTCTTGTTGACTATATTAATTTTACATTTGACTTCAAATTACTATTTCTTTAGGCCAGAAATCTGAAAAGCATTAAATCCTCATAAATATGCATGCACACACATATAGAAACATACGCTATAGTATCTACATAAATAATATTTATATTTCTTGCTAATTTTTTAAATTAAATTTAATGTATATTGAGGCATGCTACAGCAGATAATAGCTTTAGCCTGTATATTAACAATAGAATGAGAAAACTTTCTATTTCTTGGACTAAAATAATTTCAAAGAATTTTGATCTGCTTTGTCAGTGTCCTTAAAGCGGCTTCCAAAAAGCTGCTTAACTACGTAATTATTTTGGCTTATAAGATTGCAGAACAGAATGAAGCACAGAATACATCGACATATAAACTACTACTGCTCAAAATACTGTAATGAAGTTATCAACCACTTCTGAAGTGTTGGATAAAATAAAGAAGAAGGAGGGCAGAGAACATAAAGTGTTATTTTTCATCTCAAGAGATACTGCAGTAGGGAGTGTAGGAAGTTAAAGGGAAGAGTAACAAATGAGGATGATTTTAGTCTAGATTAAAAAAAATAACCATACAGCATCACAGAGCAAAGACTGCACTTAAATTACATTCACTGATTTTAGCATGAGTGAAGTCTCATCAAAACTATTGTCTCTGAATACCTTTGTGAAGCTGTACAAAGATGGATGCTGTGCAACCGCAGCACCCCTTTAATGAGAAGTGACACCACAAAAGCAGAGTCTGGAGCTGCTCACGAGCTGCTCATGAGTCATGAGATCTGGGATATGGCAAGTCATATTGGCTCTGACATTTACTAGGGAATGAAATATCCACGGTTGGTTTTAAATTACGTTATATGAGAATGCTCCTGTACTTAAAGCAAGTGAAAGGCAATTTTTATTTCCATCTTCAAACAGAAAATGACTGAATCGTTCACAAATACTTCTTACAGTATTTCTGTTGTTCTGAAGATGAAGTGATGGAGCATGAACTGTGTCAAAGTCTATAAAGGGACAGATAACAGTAAGGTGCTGCTAATAAGCAAATATTGTTCACAGAATAGTCCACTTTTCAGCCATCATCTTATATTTATGATCCAAACAGTAACCTAGCATTTGAAAATAATTTTAAAGTTCACATATTTTCTTATTTTGCATTAAGCCTTTGTAAAAGCATGAATGGCTGCTCCTTCAGTACTTTAATGACTTAATATGCTGGAATTCTCAAAATGAGCATGTAACCCACGAGTCTTCATCTTCTCTGCAAGCAGTGTTTGAATTTTTGCCCTTTCATATTGACTCATTAAATTTGCAATGTCAGGTGTTGGCAAGATAACAGGAAAAAGAATGACACTGTTCTGGGTATCAGAAGGTTATAATTTTGGAAGGCAACATCACCCAGCTTCCTCGATAAGCTAACAGGAAATAATTTGATTTTCAAACTTGTCCAATTAAAGACTTTCTACATAAGGAAGTCACTGCTAAATAATGAGCCACAGCAAATCCCAATTTCTCGTAAACACCTTTGCATTGAGTAGTTTAATCCACTTCAGTGGAGGAGTAGAGAATGCACTTAGTACAGACAAAATAGTATCACTGGAGAAACAGCTTTTCGGGCTATTTTCCTGAGTAGACAAATCTTTGGTAAGAAGAGACTACACAAGCTTAATTCTCTGACTCTTGGCAAACTCTGTTTCACTGTTTAAGTGGAACACATCCTGGAATGTGGTTTTCTCCCCTTTTTAAGAATACTACCCTTATGGAAGACATCATCACCAATATACTCAGTCTCATCTTTCTGCTGCCCTACTGCTTTTTTTTAGCGGGAAGAATGTGTCTCTTACAGATTACATCAGAAATACCCACTTGCAGCACACAAAGAATGAGTAGTGTAATCCAGCCCTCGTTGCAAGTGATATTGGTACTTATTTATCAGTCTGTTCTGCTATTCTGCAAAACAAGGTGCCATTTTTCCAGGTCTGACTGACCACATTCCCAGCACAGAAGAACAAGCCTAACCAGTGCTGTGCTAACTGGTGAGATGCAAATCTGCAGTTTCATTTCCCTGTTTCCCTGCCCTTCTTTGCTGTTACACCCTGAGATTCACAGAAGGAGCTAATAATTGGCTGATGAGAGATAAGCAGAACTAAAAGCAAATTATGTAAAAAACAAACTATTGCAACTCTACTGCCAGAGATTTACTTTTATTTCTTAATGTGTCCTTTCAAAAGTACCACACGTTTCAAAATCTTCAAGAGAATTTCTGTAATATTATTAAATGTAAATCAAGTATGCAAACATATCCGGTGCTACTGTGCTAGATCAGCAGACAGTTCAACTGATTTCGTGCCAAAGAGCAAAGAAGAAAATCAGCAGTCAGAGGTCAGCTCCATTACAGCAGTCCTAACCCACGACACAGAAATTACATCCATTTCATAGTTTAACTTGTAAAGTATTAGAGTAGCAAAGAAAGCAAGCACTGACATTTAAGGAGAGGTTAAAAAAAAGAAGCCAGACACAGGAGAAACATATTTAGCCCATTTTCTATGTTCAGGAAAGATGCTCCCAGGGTACTTTAGGAGGCTTCTTTCCACTCTGATCCTCCCAGCTGGCAGGTAGAAATGATATAAAGTTTGCCCATTGCAGGAACCTTCTCCCTTGAGAAGAGCTGCAATTGTACTGCACGCTTACTAACTAGTGGATGATAAGGAAAGTCCCTAAATCCAGGCACAGCACCCTGGCAAGCATCCCAGATTCACAAGGGTGAGGATAAAGAGAGAGGCAGGCACTTCAGCACCATGTCACTTGAGCGGAGCCTTCCCACACCCTCTGCTTTGTGCTGTTTGCCAGTCCAGCCTCTTGGCTAGCATACAGTAGGTGTTCAGTATATGGTTCAAGGCTCCATGCTATTACAGGCCTGTAAAGCTGCTGTGTTATGAGAAGAGTAAACTTTCATTAAGGGTAGAAAGGAAAACAAAACCTTCCACTTTAGGAAAAAAAAAAAGTTATTTGTAATGATTACATGAATTTGGGATATATGGTGATAAGGCAGCATATTCAGAGTACAGTATACAGACTGGGTTGTTGGGTTTTTTTGGTGGTTTTTTTTTTTTTTGGCGAGAGAAATCCTGTAGAATTCAAACATGTTAGGCAAAGTTTTAAGCTACACATTTAAAATCTGGCTCTACTGTTTTCCATGAGTCTTAAAATTATTCTTTTTCAAATGCATAGTCCTAAATCACTGGGTTGCAAAGAACTGTAATCAACATTTTTACCTGTACAGGTGGCTCAATCATTATCCATGCAGGAAGCATCAAACTTGGGTTAAGAGGTTGAGTTCCTACACGAAAATAAATGCCACCACTGGTATCACAGGCCCAAACATGCTGATTTCCACAGGTCAAGTTGATCAGTTTTACAGCACCTAATAACAAAGAGACTATTAGCAACCTGGCATTTTCCTTTCAAATTCAGCTAACAATGAGAACTTTTATTTAGATTTGATTATATTAAACTAGCTTTAAACACAATTGCCTACAAATGATTAAAAGTTAATACAACTTGTGAGAGAAAAAAAAAATACCACTGGATACAATGAATAAAACCAACAGGTAGTATATGTGAGGTATGTCTCTTTTAAATCTAAAAATAAATGTTTCAGTCATAGGATACTGCAATTTCTAAAGCACACTAAAAATACAATATCAAAATAACCAAATTCAAGCAGGGAAACATTCTGTGACAAATGTTATCAGTGCCTAGACAAACTTTCACATGACCTAATGTGAACTTTTCTCTGTAGCTGGCCGTGCTTGTAGACTTTTAAAGGTGTTGATCTGCTAATACATTCAGCAAAGAACATTCCTAATGCTACCTGCACTTTAAAAATATGACAGCATATGGATTATGCATTTCAGTGCTAACAGAGTCACATCTGTAAATAAAGGAGATGATTTTCAAATGGATTTATATTCAACAGTGCACATATTTATTACACCTATCTCAAAAGTGCAGCAGTACTTTAACCCTACATAAGTCAGCACAATGAAAACAAAGCTGCCAAATAGATATGCTTTGGAATTTTGGGGTGGTTTGGGTTTGTTTGTTTGGGTTTTCTGCACACCCAATCACACCCATCAATCTTCCTATTAAAAGTTTGCAAAGATAGTAGAGATACATACCTGATATTTTAGACTAAAAAGAACTGCTAGTTAACTGTCAACCGGAACTATTACTCTTTCACAATCATTTTAAAATAGCCATGTGATGTAATATACATAACATTTGACTATTTTTTTTTTCCTCCCAGTGTTGGGACAACACAATGCTAAGTAATGGAAAACATGTTCTGCAGAAAGAGGGACTGAATCAGTACAGATACACCACAGAAGGAATGCCCTGGTCAGATTCCAAACTAAAGACTCTAAAAATAGGCCTTGCTGGCTGATTAAACATGCAAGCGCTGCTTGGGATATCCCATTCTTGGTAACAGTTCTCTCTTCAGTGATGTGAAATCTGGCAACAAATCCTAGTAAAGTGCATCAGATACAGCATTCCTTGAAGAGAGGGGTGCAATTTTATCCCACAGAGTGCAAGTTTAAAGCATTTATTTCTGCAGAAAGCACTATTCCCTGTCATTAAGGCTTGCTTGGGGAAAGAACAGGGAACAACAGGACTACACAGCTTTATCTCTTAGTTATCTGTAATAGTAAACAGATCTTCTCATTAACCAAAATTATTTAACTTTCTGAATCACAGGGATTCAAATTAATTCATCTCACCCCAAAATTTCCTTTAATCATAGAGCTTCATATTAAAAACAAATGACAAAACTATACACAAAAACTTCTACTGCTTGGGATAAGAACATTTAGAACAACTTTCTTTTGCAGGCAGGGGCTTGACATTCAGCTACAAAGTCAAAATCTTACTTAAAAACTCTGATTTTTCCTTCTAACAGAGTATAACTTGAAGTAATGGCTATGTCACATGATGTCTCAGCTGTTGAAATGTTCTGATCCAAACAAGCATCAGAGCACGCAAACATGGAATCACATATCACCTACTTGGCATAGCTGATATAATTTATGTCTAGAGTACAATTTGATATTAAAAAATGCAGCCCTTATGTAAATGTTTTGGGGTTTCTCCCTCCTCCCAGTTACTGTTTTTACCATAGCAGAAGGTCATGGTAACCACATTCACCTACTGTTTAGAGAAAGTAGCGTGATTCAGAGGCATTGCTCATTGTTGAAAGCTGAAGATATGTGTGTAGGTTTCTATTGTGTTTAGAAACCTTGATATCAGTAGTGGAACTCTAATCAAAGTAATTTACTAGATACTACTCCCAGTGTAAAGGCAAGAGGAAGATACTAGCAAACATAATATGAATATTTCAACATTAATGCTGGCAACCCCATCACTTTGATACAGAATTCCAAACTTCATTTTACAGCGACTTGCTCCCCTCCCCCTCTCAAATTACAGTCCTAATGTTTCAGGAGTAAACTTAAACATACACTTGAACAATAAGAATAGTTCCCCAATTTCTTCAGCTCCCTTAGAGCAAATAAAGGCTCTTTATTATAACCATAGATATGCACTATCTTGTTAGCAGTGATCTACAATACGCATTTAACTGGAGGAAAAACGCTTAAAACATCTTCACATTTAAGTATTAACCCACAGTGGCACGTAAAGTGGAGTGTTTGAAGTATTTCCTGTACCCAGATTTCTGCAATACCACCACAGAGTGCCGTGAAGCTAACAGGGACAGCTGAATGTAAAGGCTGAACTTCTGAACCACTGAAGTTCACAAGTCAGCTAGCACCAATTACACTGATTTCTTTTATGAATACTTTGAGATTTTCAGACAATAGCAAGAAGTTATTTATTATTTCAGCCAAACACTTATTATCTAAACTGCTGGAAAGCAACAGTATCATGAGAAAAGTTTCAAACTCTACCAAGCAACATCAGAAGAGGAGAGTGGACAAACCTATCCTGTAGGTCAGTGACGGTAAAAGACATCAAGCAGTGCTTAAACTATGGTACAATTAGTGATTTGGAACCAAATCATCAGATATTGAAAACTTGGTGTATAACTGGCAAACAATTTTAAAAGAAGCATTTAAAAAATTTTTCAATGAAGTATTAAAACTTCTATACTAAAATTGTACGTGAGGCTTAAAGTCTGCCAGCTGTCTGCCTTTCCTTAACCCTGAAGTTAAAATTGTTTGTCTGTTCTCAGACCAGTCATTAACATTGCCATTAAAAATGGAAAAAATTGCAAAACAGCTAAATTATTTTTAAAGTGGTGCAAGAATGGTGCATAGTTTGAATTTCTTTTATCTTCTCTTGAAAGAGGAATGCAGGTTAGCATGAAGGTAAGAATGTTTTAACAGTCAGACTACAAAGAAATAAATCTAATTGGAACATTACTGATGAAGCTGACAAGTGGCCTGACTACCCCAGAGTCAAACCGGGAAAATATTTTAGTGATCAAAACATGGTCAACCACCTTGGTCTCATGCCTAACCAAATAAAAAGAGCAGTTAACCAGCAGCACACTATGCAGAATCATTAGATCGGTACAGACCTGAACGTGAGAGTGTTATCAGCTACATCACTTACGGATGATGCAACTCTTGGAGCACGATTTTTCCTTGACAGGATCCTAATGAAGCTTTGACTCTGTTTAAGAATGCATTTAACCACAAAATTCAGAGCCCTGTGTAAGGAACTGTCTAGGACCACACAATCATGGTTACACTGCAGCACGAGAACTAGACTAGTTAAAGCTACTCGTACACCTGCACAGCACAGTGTCAGGTCAAGTTGTCTCAGACTGACAAACTCTAAGAAGCACATACACATACAAAGCATCTTGCAAACAGTAAACACACTGTCTCCAGCAAAAGGCTAAACAAAACATTCTTTGAAAGCCATTGTTGTTCCTCATGTTTTCCAGTCCTCTGCTGGAGGCCCATTATTATAAGGTACTATTTAAACCAGCAAATGCAATATTCCCTATCAGTAAACCAAAAGATATTTCTGAAGGAAAAATATTGACTGTCTGCTAACAAAGTTAAGACACAGTCTACTCAATAAAAACATCATACCTAGTTGAGAGAGATCCAGTTTTGTCCAATGCATCCCTGTTGGACAGCTGGATGAAAGTGTTCTGATAAATATCTGCCCAAGACTATCCAAACCCCAAATGGCATCCTGGCAGGCAGAGTAGTGCACCATTTCAGAATCTGGTGGCAGCTGCACCGTAGAAGGACGAAACTGAGGATTCTGATCACTGACACAGAACAGATCCTTGTTGCTTTGGCACAGCCACAGAAAGCTTCCTATGGAAAGGACATTTTTGTTATTAAAACCATTTCTAAACCACTCTGAGAAAGCTTACAGATCTGCTTCTTCTGAAAAAAAATGATCAGTACATTTGAAGACAAAACTAAAGCTTCTTAGCTATGTTCATAGGGTAAGAATATGAAATACAAATACGCATCCCAAGCCCTTATTTAGGCACCTAAACACTCCCTTTCTCAAATCAAGTAAGTAGTAAGTGATCTCATCTGAAGAAACATCTCATTTAGGGAAACTAATAGAAGACATGTATAACAGTGCACTATCACTTCCCTTTATTCTTTTGCTGCTCTTTATCCTTGATAATTGCCTTTGAAAACCAGCATTCCTTTTCAGCTCTAAATCACATATTTTTGCCAATAAAGCTAGTGTACTTAGCTAATGCAATTGCCAACTATCGTAACTAGCTGTTGAATTCTTTAGCATGGTCACACTTTTACTGATAAAATTTTGCTGCAATAACTGCACTGAGAGGTGTACTTGGTTAGTATAGGCATTTCAGCAAACATGCTCCAAGATTCCACATTACAAATTCTGGCAATTCATGCTGAGATAATTTAAGAAGTTAGTGCTCCTAAAGGAGCACCTTTTTCTCTGTTGGATGCCACTCCACACCAAAGGTAGAACAGTGAATTATACACCTTTTTTTTTTTTTTAAATCTACTGGAGATTTACAGATGTATTTCCATCTTACTTCAAAATATTTTATATCCCTGCATACAGAAAAGGCACCTAAATCTGAAGTAATTCAGGTTAATTACATGATCAATTCCACTCTATTTAAAAATCAGGTATTATATGCCTGCACTGCTGATTCACTAACCTTCTTTAGATGAAGCTGTGGAAGCCAACACAAAAACCCATTTTGAGGCAGAAGCAGTACCACGAGGCACAATATTATTCCAGTAAGTGCCTTGAAAGACAGAACACAGGGGTATTAGTATAAAACTTAATTTTATATAAAAAAAATTATTTCAAATGTTACCATTTAAAATAAATTATATTGCAATCCATTATTAAACATGATCTAGACAAGATTTGCTATGTAAATCTTTCAAGAAGCTGCGGGGGCGGGGGGGGCAGGAACCTCCTCCTGACACATATACACGTATGCACACACACACAGAGAAAATTGGGAATGCAGAAAAAGAGAAGATTAATGGTCTTCAACAGGAGACCAATTTGGTGACGAGGTTAAATAGACAATGTTCTAAGTCTGTTCTTAGTGTTTACCTGATCAAAGAAATGTACTAAATCAAAATTCTATTTTGAGAAATATAGCAATAAAAATAAATTAAAGCAATTCTCCTATTATCACTGTAAAGCCATAACATTATTGTTTTGCATAGTCACACCGATCATGAACCAGCCTCCACTGTGCTAGATACAACAGGTACAATAGCTTAAGGTTGCCTTTTTACCCCAGAGAAGAGACAAGTTTAGGTACTAAAAGGAGTAACATGTGCACAATGAATTTTCCATCAAAAATATTTCCCTTTAAATGGGAAAGTATAAGACCAAATGCTAATGAATCATTTAATTTAATTTTTAAACGTGGAGTTGTTTGTTAAAGCTGCCCTGACTCACCATGGATATTTTTTGTGGTGACAGAACTGTAGTTAGTTACTTTCTCCTATTTAATTTTCTTAACTTAAAAATATGAGATGTAAAAGCACACGAACCTATTAAGTTTCCCTTTGCCACATGGAATTCATTTTTGCCTGAAGAGATCCAGACTCCACTGCCATTAACTCCAAGGAGGCTGGGTTGACACTGAAGCTGCTGTGACCAAAATGCCATTCGAAGTTTATCGGCCACCTTCTCCACAGGTGCCTGAGCTGCTGTTGCCACCGTATGAGTTGCCTGGATTATCGTTTGGAATAGGCTGCACTGGTCAAACACTACATAGTCAGTGATGCTTACCTGGGGGGAGGAGGACAAAAAAAAAAAAAAAAAAAAAAAATCATTCTTGAGAATTAGTTAAGCTTTTGGGTTAAGCTTTTGGGTGAACTGCAGATTCTTTCGTCAGATCAGAAAGCTTTTTTTGTGTATGTGCTTTATTTAGAAACCTTCAAAGTGTAGGAAGGAAGAAATAAAACTGTACATTTTTAAAAAGTATGAGTCTTGATAACAAACCAGAACCAATACTACATATCAGCTTACAACTCCCTCCTACCCAACAATCCAGTTTGAATTCTGCATTTTAAAAAAGCCCTTTGTTTTGGGATGACTCTTCTCTCCCCCTAAAAACATGTTAAACTCTGCAACCTAAGAGATGAATTTTCAGCTTCCCAAAGGAAAACAGAAACTTGCATAGTCTACCAGTTTAAATCACATCGCAAAAACTTGTATAGAATACTCCTTTGCAACAACTTCATGGGCTTTTTAATTCACAAGGCAGGAGGAGATTTAAATAAGAAATTGCTCTCGTTCTGTCATGGACAACTAGGTTGGCAACACTCTGGGACACTCCTAAAAAGTAAGGAAATGCTTAAGAGCACAAAAAGAAAAGCAGTTTGCCAATAACCTCAAAGCCATGCTATTCATAATGCCCATATGCAAGAAGAGATTATATGTGCACATAAACTGAAATTCTTTCAACTTAGGTAGACGTGTAGTCAAAAAACTTCTCTGTGTAACTGTTTTTGTACCCTCTTCTCCCCCACACTTGTCTCTGGGGAAAATAAAAAAAAGCTGGAAAAAACAAAGGGTTGGGAATTCTAAGTCAGTACCTAGGAGTACTTGCAGTAACTTTGTTTTTACCCACATCAACTGCGACTGAAGCAAGCAGCCCAACATGGTTCAAAGAAACCTCAGCTGAATGGAAAAATGCATAATAAAAGCATTTTTGCAAGGTTGCTTATTATTTATTTAATCTAGCTAAGGAAAAGGATGGGTATTGGAAGACAAGAGGAGAGACTGCATTCAGTAGCCAGACTTGAACGCTCTGCCTAAACAGCATGTCCTGTTGCCACTGTTGAGACATCAAGCTACATGTACCATTGATGTGACCTGATAGAGCATTTCTTGTGTTCTTGAAAACTGCTGTGATGCTGCTCTGGATAACCACAGGATGGCTTTTTTCCCCTTTTTTACAGCAGACGTGAAAAGGGATTTCTGCCATAGCCACACTGTGGTTTTACTATACTGAATAAACAGTGATATAATATATCAAACAATTCATTGAATTTTGTCTTAGAATCTCATGGGAAAACAATGCAAATAATAAATCCAAGGTAAAAGACTAAACTGAAAGCAAAATTAAAAAAAAAAAATGCCTACTTGCCACCAATGGTTATCATCTCCTTGTGGTTTCTTTGAAACTATACCAGTTCTGAACCACAGGTTTCCATGGATATCCAAAGCCCATAATGTCTGCTGATCTCCAAGGGTTATGCACACTGGTTCCAAAGCTTGCATTTCACTGGAAATGCAAACAAGTAAAAAAAAAAATTAAAAACCTTACTTCAAATTTATGCTTACGGTATTTTAAGGAAGCTGTTACAATGCTAACAGCAGTTCAAAATGATCGAACTCAGTGTGGCCAAGCTCAAAAACACTTTTCATTTCAAAATTTTCACAGTTATTCAGTAATCCAAATTTTATTAGTTTGCATAAGTGAAAAACATGCAACAGAAAAAAAAAAAAAAGAATCCTTCAAAGATAACTTGATATTCAAAACTTGGATATATAACAATAAAACTAAACAAAAACGATTTCATTCAGTCAATAAGAAATGAAGAGCTGTGTTCTCTAAGTTTTTGATAAAGCATCTTCATAAATGTATCTCCTCCAACTTCCTTCACCTATTCTGAGAACAATACTAGCAGTTCAGGGACCATAAACTAATTAAAAGTACATGCAAATTTCAGGTTTGAACAAGATGAAAAATCTAAGGAAAGATTCAGCAAAAGCCAAATACCAGGTTGGGAGGTTACACAAGTTAAAGCTTCACAACAGAAGATAAAAATCATATGACGACAAGAACTGGAATTTCTTCTTATACTTGCTTCAGGCTGATGTCACAAGAGAAACTATATTCTAGATTCTCAAAGCCAGCAGTAAACACTCCGTGCTTTTAACTTCTATCGCAAATTAACTACCATGACTGTAGGATCAACTACAAAGCTAAATACCAATTACCCAGAACATTTATAAAATCTGTCACTGGGAAGTGGAAAAGTATTATCCAGCTGTATGGACAATCAAGAAAACGCTGAGATTTAATCTGAGAAATGCTGAAAATTTGAGAAAACGCTGAGAAAAAATTCACTCAAATATCTGGACAGCTCATTAAAGCCATTATGGCAAAGATTAAAGAAACTATATTTAATAAAAAAGTCATATTGACAGATATTATAATATCTTTTAAAAATTGTTCTCACTTTCTTAAACTCACTTTAACTGTGTCACCACCTCTGTTTATGGCAATTTCTTTCATTACATAGCAGTCACTCATCATACAGTAAAACATCGGTTACTCTGAATACAGCTCGACAAAACCTAAAGGACATACATACACACACACACACGAGTTCAGGTAACACTTTTTCAAACACCAAGGAGTTGAAGCACTGAAGACAATTATTTGTGTCACTCTGGATATGACGCTGACCCACCGATGTGTCATTACCTGACAATATCACTCTTCCATTGTTCTCCTTCAGGACAAAAGCTGCGTACTCCCTCCCGGTATAGCAGGGCCCGCTGCTCACTCAACGCCCACACAACATTATTTCTGGATGTAACCTGCGACAGTGGATAAGGGCAGTCAACCTTTACTGCTCGGGCACAAGGACGATCCACACTCAGGCCTAGAAATCAAAAAAGGAGGATTGCTTTACAAACTTTGACTTTTTGCAACTCAAAGAAAAAGAGACAAGGCTACCCAACAAAAGAAAATGAGAAGAAGAATATCTCTGACATGCTAACACTTTTCATTTTATCACTAGATTGACTGTTCTTTCTATAAACTATTCATTATTTCCTCTAATATAGCTGAATTTATATTTTAAGAAATAAAACACTCTGTATCCCCTTCAACATCCTGCAGAGCACACAAATCCTGTCCTGTCATTTCTGTTCCTTTTCTCCCTCTAGTGTCAGTATCAGGAATCTCCGTTTATAAAACCTGTATTACAGTTGACAGAAGCATCAAAGAAAGGCAGTAATGGAAGAACTTTTGCCCAAAATGTGCCAGGGAAAGAGGCAACCTGATCTGAATAGTGGAAGCAGAGCTATTACAAAAGAGCATGCCACAATGTGTAGTACTGAAAGGAGACGAGAGGTTCTGGTAGATTTACAGCCAGTTTGCACCCATTTATACATATAATCAAGAGCAACACGTCTTCTTCACAATTACACTGAAGCTTGATTTGCACGGGTGCATGTGAAACATTGCAAGAGACATAGCTTTTGCATAATCTTCTCATGCTGCCAAAGCAAGTATGAACAGACTCATCTGTATGATATTCTAAAGTAACAAGAAGAATGCTCATTACCAAACCTCTGAGCACACGCTTTGTTATAGAAGTTAGACAGGACAGTGGCAGGAATGAAAAGATGCTGGAGGAACAACTATCACCAGTTGCTTCACATTAACAAGACAGACATACTGAGATTTATTTTTGGCATCAAAGACACATTTAGAAACCTAGGAACAGCAGAATGTAAGCTGATGTAATCAAACCAATCTCTCATAGGGAAGAAAAATACTGATTCAAACCTCCACAGAGCCCTGTGTGACTGGCATCAAAAGTTCACTCTATCACCACTGTCTATGCTTGTTGACAATATGCACATGATCTTGGGCAGGCCACTTTATTTCTCTGTAACTACTAAACTTAATTAAAAGAAAATAATTTAGTAGAGATTCTTTGAAACAATGCTGTGTATTTGAACAGTTTTCTTAATCATTAAGAACTTCTATATTGTGCTACATCAGTTAAATCTACAAGAGAAATTAGGAAAGTACCAGAATTAAACAGAAGATAAATAAGAATTTTGATAGCCACTCTGAAATGTTGTCCTGCTTTAGTGTGTCTCACTGTTTCCCCCTTACCTAGTCCTCCTCTTACTTCTCCAGTAATTCCTTCATCATGTTATTTCTAATTTTTCCTTGCCAATTCAGCTCTCTGTGCAAAGCCCGCATGCCAAAGAGTCCTTGATACTCTAAAACCTGGAGCTCCATCCTTCATCCCAGGTCCTTGTATTTTGCCTGAATAATCTCTGCATAACACCTTCCAAATGCATCCTCTTCTAGCCACTGAAGCAAATAAAACTAAGGCCATGACTTCAGAGTTGCCACTGTGCTCTCTCTTTTTCTGATTCTTGCCTCATTCATACTCAGTGAGAAGGCAGCTGTAAAGATTGCTGCTCCACAGCCCGTTTCGTTCCTCTGCTGGCTTTGCTTTCTCTATCACATAAAATACATATCACTTGCGTATACTTCAAAGCATTTTATGATCTTCTGTCTCAGAATACCTTTCTTTCATGATCAAGTAGTAACTCTTACCTCCAATATATCTGTGTTCAAAACAAACAGCTTCCACTTTCCCCTACTCTGCCCCCCCCGCACCTGAATTTCTCCTTAACAGCCACACACTATCTCATCGCCTTTCAAATTCCTTAAAACTTTGTTAAAATCCTTAAAGCAAGAAAAGAAAACCCACTTAAGGCTCAGTTGTTTCAGTATACCATACCATTTTCAAGACAATTATATTATTTCAATATTTTCTGCATTCCTTTTCCATTTATCTACATCCATCCCATATCCTTCCCATGTCATAAAGTCTCTATACCATATGTACTCCATGCGGCACAAAAAATAAGCGGCTATGAACTGGCTTTTCCAGCCTCCTTATTACACAGAATCTCACAACTGTTTCCAACTGTTTCTCAAGATAAAAAGGTTTCCCTGTGTCCTGTCTGTGGAGACAAGTTAAAACAAATTGCGATCATTCCATAGACTTGAACTCTAATAATCTTAGCCCACAGAAATCCAAGAGTCTGCAATTAATTCAGATACCTGTTTGCAGATACAGATCTCCATTTGTTCTGATAATCCAGGCAGTGTCATCACTTAAAGCTACAAATACAGCCTGGGGTAAAGCCTCATACCAGTGGCGTTTTCCTTTTATAGTTACTTTTCCACAAGCAAATGCTTTGTTAGTCTTCTGTTCAATCTTCCATAGAAGAGCCCCTGTATGAGGAGTTAAAGGAGAACATAGTATCACTTGGCAATTACTAGACATTAGTAGAAACTAATTAGTAGTAGAAACAGGTGATTTGTCCTATCTACACCCAAACTAATGTGAGGGGAAAGGCAAACTAGTAACATTAAACAAAAATGCAAGATTTAAAAAATGCTTATATTTTTTTTTTTACAAAGTACAACCAGAACAGTGGCTAACTTCTCTAGTAATTGCTGAAATGCATTTACCGTTAGACTATGTGCGATTTTCAAATGTTCAAATGCAAGTCACTCCTCCTCAGTTATACACTGAAAACTAATAAACAAAACAAGTTCCCATGTCAGGGCTAAATAAGGCTACTATTAAGAGACTGAAGTGCATAGCTCACTTCTGTACTAGTGTGGTACATCCTCAGTACATAAAAGAAAAAGGGTTAATTGTCGTACTTTCACCTTTTACATATACTAGTAGTATTAATAAGGTAAATCATAACTTTTGTGGACCTGTCAAGAGTGGCAAACACCTGAACAGGTGTGGTGTCCCACACCGCAGTGGGCAGTGCTATTACCTGCTCATTATGTAGCATGTCACAAGCGGACAAAATGCAGAAATGCAACCGCACAAATCATTCTTGAGAACTTTTCCCCTCACTCTAATTAGCAAGGATAGTTCAGAAAAAGAAAACCAAGAGAAGACTGACATGTACTTTTAGAGATGACGGGAAGAAAAGTAGTGTCAAGGCAAGAGACTAAGTAAAGAAAATGCCTGAGAAACCTGTATTTTCACACAAGTCCTGAAACAACCTGGAAGGCCAAAAGTGATGCACATTTAAAACCTGTTTAATTTTAATCCAACATAATCATCATTTCCAACCATCCAGAACAAACTCATATGCAAATGCACCAAAAATTAAGGTTTTTTTCTTTAGTATTAAAAAAAATAAAATCAAATCAACAAACCAACCTGTACACAAAACCAATTCTACATTTGCAACAAAAGGAAGTTTACATTTGGGAATCATAAGCAGTTCTGTTACAAAAACCAAGGTTTTGTATAGACAAGGACCTCTTCATTTATCTCTGCCTACCACTGAACTGCTGCTTCTGAAATTCACTTTAATCAGGCAGCCGCATGTTGAAAACTTCCCAAAATGCAACGTGAACCTGTTAGAAAGACAGCCACTTAAACTAGAACATGGTATGCAGAGGTAGTGAAGATGCAGTCATATCACTCAATATGACCTTTTTTCCCCTCAAAAAAAACCCCAAACACACTAGTTTTACATGAAGCAAGTCCCAAACAACCAAGTTTCTAGAAGTACTGTATTTAAAAATAAACAAACTGTCTACGTGGAAATTACATACACACTGAACTGTATCTGTAATCTCAGAAAAATTACATGTTTCACCTAATTACATAATAGCCATTAATAAAAAAAAGTAAGAAAGCAGAAGAAAATGCACAAGTCTATGCAAGTTTTATATTTAGGTGGTCCCAGGGGAGCAGAAGGCAACCAACCTGAGGGGGAAACTGCCACCTGCTGGACACCATCTTCAAACTTCTGCCACCGCAGCCCCGCCGCGGGCAGCGCGCTGCAGTACAGGCTGCCTCTGTAGTCCAGGCACCAAATGTACTTTTCTGAGACAACCAGGCTCAGGATGCCATAACCAGGGCCAGAGTATCCCATCCAGCTCTCTGCAAACTAAAAAACTGTATGGTCAGAACAGTGTCAGGTTGTCTTCAAACTGCACAAGAAAATGGCTATATAAGCACAGCAGCTCCCATATTATGATTAAGAACCTTAAGTTTAGCTTTTTTAAGTACCTTAATCAATGAATAAATTTGCCTTGTGTAATATAAAACTACACCTATCTGTGTTGGCTAACATAGTACTGTGAAATAAGACTGCTAGAACAAAAGTTTTAGCAAAAAAACCCCAAAACCCTCCACACTCTCATCTACCTCCGGAAAGTGGAAAATCTTCTCTTATTGACAAAAGAACACATACTTAAAATAAATGGCAGGTCAAAAAGGAATACATAAAAATGTACAGTCTGTCTGTAGTCAGGAAATTCTTTATTGTCTGTGAAGTGATGAGCAAAGGGAACAAGACAGCTGGAGTGCAGAAGACAGCTAAATATCCAACTCTGATACTCTCTGTATAGTACAGAAGCCATGTATTGCAGAAGTTTGGCTTACAGACTGCTATCTTAAATTTTGATAGCTTGCATGAGGTGAACCCAAGCACTGCATACATGACCTATAATGTAAGCATCTGTGGAGCTTTACTAAACATTCCAGAGAATAACCTGAAACTAAAAGTCGTCTACGCTTCGGGCTGAAGTTGTTACTAAATAGGACACCATCAACCTGTAACTCAACGTTTATCAACAAATATTTGGTTGATTTCAATACAAGGCTGTTACAGGTTAAAAAAAAAAACCAAAACCAAAACAGAACCAACCCCAACATAGAAGAACTGTATTTCCTTCTTGAGATTTCTGCTAAAACTCCCAGTGATTTTGGCAGTTTTGCAGATTTTACAATTAATTTTAGTACTTCTTTTCTATAGTCTATTTGAGAATTACTATTTCTGGAAATGTTCACCCACAAAATAACAATGAAGGAAAGAGGGATAACAGAAAAAGCAAACATGTCAACATTCTAAATAGTACTAACTGCTGTCCAGGACACAAAGAAAGACCAATCCTTATTCTGAGTATTTACAGGCAAAACAATTCTTGACCAGAGACCAGCCATGTGAGATAATCACCATTAATTCCCCATGAAGCCAGTTGCAGTTGGGAACAGCATCGTCCAGAATTTGATCTACTGGAGACGCAAACAAGGAGCAGTCTTTGAGCATGACTTGGTTTTACTGCTCACTCTTCAATGGATGCATTTATGACAGCATTTTTGTTGAGCTGGGAATAATACAGCCAGTGCAGCTTCTTCACATTGTAAGCATACATCAACCATTCTGAAGTCTGATACATCACATTTCATAAGAGTTACAACACATATTGCTGTTTGGCTTTACTCTTTACTTGTTCACTAAAATCAAGTAATAAAAAAAATTGCTTTCCTAAAGAGGTAAAGGATAGTAATCACATGAACGTTTCTTTTGAAATGCTGCAATTAAGTATTTTAACTAAACTGAAAATATATACCTGATCAGATTTTAACAGCACCATCTCGTCTAGGCTTATCTTGACCACATCCTGGGAACCAGGCCTAGGACAAATTTCAGGCATACTAGTCTCCGAAGATGAATATGGTAATCCATGTCCATAAATATCCTCTTCATCGCTTGAGGCAGATTTCTCAGTCTTACTTTCATGAGTGTCTGTTACCCATTCAGCAGCACTAGTACTAGATTTAGCTTTGATTGCACTTTCAAAATTCCATCCAGAAATGGAAGTGGTATCTGAACAAACATGGCTGGAAATGTCAAAGTTGAGCACAGAAGGATCTGCCAGAGCGCTGTGTATTAGAGAGAGCTGCTCTTGGTTTTCCCTACCAGTTTCATCACTTTCCTTTGGTGTCAGTGATGGCTGAACATTAAGTACACTGTCACATTCCAAAAACATTTGGTCTGCAAGGGCTTGCTCTTCAAAAGATTTTTCAGTATCCTGCAACTTCATTTCATCTAAATTTTCATCTATTTTACACAGTGTAGGAAAATCCTGCTCCTCCTCTTGGCTCAGCTTTCCAAGACAGCATTCATTGCTTGCAGAAACCACACTACCATTATATTCACCATCAACACTGCTTGTCAAGTCTTCTGTGAGGATTAAAGGAGAGACACATGTCAAAGTATCTGTAACAGCTGAAGTACCCATGCCACTGTCACTGTTTGGAAGTTTCTGTATATCAACAATATCTCCATTTTCTTCATTAATTAGGACAGTTGCAGACTCAGGAGACTGCAGGACGCTGAAAGTTTCTGAACCGTTATCTTCTTGCAAGATTGTATGGGAGTCCACGCTGAACATGCTTTCCTGATCTGGAGATCCAGTACTCACATGATCAATGCTGCCACTCAGTAGGCTGGAAGTCATGGAAAAGGTGTCTGCATTCAATGAATGTGGACTATCACCAGAAAGCTGACGCTCATAAATCGGTGTTCCTTCCAGAGAGCTGTGGTTTTTCCTGGTCCCACTTTCTGTTCTCACAAAAAACAAAACAAAAAAAAAAAAGGGGGGGGGAGATAGTATTAATAAAAACCGTTACATTTTGATGCAAGGTAAGAATTTTAAATATTTTTATCACTGGGGGAAGAACAGAGTTAAATCTAAATTTTGACATACTGATTTTTTTCAACTTCAACACTAAATGATACATATAGAGCAAAAAAAGTCTTAATAGCAAAACATTCTGAAGTTGTAATACCAATACAGTAAACTATTAGCATAATCAAGTACTCACACTATATTAACAAACAAAAAAGCACGGCTAAGAAAGACACTGTCAAATATTCTAAACAGGATGAATAGATATTACACAATTACAACATAAAACTGGAAGCGAAGCCCACTGTATGTGACCATTAACCCATACATTAGAACCTTAAGCATGTTTACAAAAAGCAAATCAAAATTAAAATAATAAAATAAACAGATCTAAAAAGACTTCATCAATTTATCACATACAAAACAGGCTTTCATCTTAAACATAAATGGCCCTCCACAATGACTCAAGTATCTCAAGAGCATGACAATATAATACAAGCAAAGCATGTCAAACACACACACTCGCTTGTGTGGAACATCAAAAGTGGCATGTTCTAATAACGAGCACTGGCAGGGAAAGTTCTGCTAGACTTACCTTGTTTCTTCTTTTTTTTCTTTTTCACTTTAATTGGCTTTACAACGAGCTCTTGATCAAAATCTTCAGAGCTGATTGACCTTCTCTCTGAGGTTCTGAAAGTTGTTCTGCACATACCATAAAGCTAGAGCCACTGTCCACAGAATTTACTGAACTGCTCCTGCTTCTTGATTCACTTACTACAGAGCAGCCCCTTTTTCTTGTTTCATTGCTCAAGTCTCCCGTTTTATCAAAACTTTTCTCCGATAGTGTTGGAGTTTCCACATCATCTTTCACTGAAGAATGAGAGTCATTTTTATCACCCATAACTGAAGAAGAAGTAACCATTTTTTTATTTGCTTCCACTGAAGGGCTAGATGATACAGATGCATTTACTGATACTGGGGTCAGCAATTTAGGACTCGTGTCTGTTAAAGTATTTGGCAATTTTGGATTCACATCTGAAACTGACCAAAATAAAAATAAAAGTATAAATACTACTGTGTCAAGTGAGTAGAGGCATAGTGCTTGGAGAGTACTGAAAGAAGAGAAGCTTTATGCAATGGAACAAAGTGTTCTAAGTTCGTAATATTTCAAATATATATATGCACACACACAATGTAAACTTCATGTAAGCAAATCTGTATGAAATAATTTTAGTAAAATCAATCCCCCAAAGCCTGTATAAAACTTCAATTAGCAAAATTCTGAATTTATGTTTATGTATGAAGAACAGTACAGGTCTTAGCTTGGAAGACCCATTTATATCACACACAGAAGTGCCACCCTGTATCTTCAACTTCTTCATTTAAAAATACAGTATCTTGGAAAAAATCAATTAGAAGAAATTATACTTCAAGAAGGATCCTTTCAAACTATACTTGGAAGTTAAGATTAAAATAATAAACACCCCCTAGAAGTTTGTGAGTAAAAGAACTGCTTAAATGACTAAAGCTATTGCTAATATGCAATGATAAAGAAGTTCTCTAGCATTCAGTGAGATTTCATAGCATATTTACTAGCATTTTGCTAATACAAAGCTAAGATGGAGTATTTTAAATGCAAATACTCCTTCTGTGAGTATAATATGCTGGATAATGGTGTTTACAATCTTTATGATTGAGAAATCAGCCAGCACCATCATTAAGGAAGTATTATGAATCCCTTTTAGAGAGTTCTAGCAACATAGATGCTAAATTCAAATGGCAACAAATAAGAAAATAAACTCAAATTCTTTTTGGAATTTTAGTGAGTATTGGTTGGGGTTTTTGCCAGGTCTGTCTTTTTCATTTCTGGGAAGACTGAGATTGCCTCTGGAATGTGGGTGGCAACAGGTGGCACAGAATCAACATAGTCAGGTATTTCCAAGCCAGACAACTGAGACTGATCAGCAAAGAGATAACCATGATAGGAATCCAGATTGCTTCAGAATCATGGTTTAGATTGAAGTCTCAAATGCACAGATTAGAGATACCTGGCTAGGATAATGCTGATCCACTCACCAAAAAAAGGAAACCATAATTAATTTCTTAATGCCCCCATTCTCACTGCAGCCAAAACAGAAGCTCAGATGAGCAGATAAATCAGATCTCTAAATATAATTTGTAGAAACAGATCAGTAACTCCACAGAACCTGGTAGGGTTGTTTTTTTTTTTGCAGGGGTGGGGTGGTGGTTTGGGTTGGTTGTTTTTGGGTTGTTGGGTTGTTTTTGTTTTCTTCCATGTTCCATGAGGTACATGCTATAGTTTTCTAACTATACAAACCTATTGATGACAGTCCTTCAGGTCTACTTGAAATTCTTATTATGTCTCTATCTCCCTTTAAGAGAAAAATCTCATTGTTGGTACAGGACACAGACACAATATCACCATATCCTTCCAAGCCACCAATCAAAGCCTATAAAGAGTCAACACAGAAAGAAATAATTGGCATCAGATTAACACACTCCAGACAAGATGATGCTCTAACAAAATTCTTCAGTGGAATTTAATCAACATACATAGTTACAGAATAAATATTTTATCTTATCAAAAAGAAAGAAAAAAGAAACAGGAAAGAACCCTTTAATCATGATGTAGCTCATTTTTATACTAATTTTAATTCCATTGATCTATTAATTTTCTCTGTCCAAAGTAGCAGCAACAATATAACAACTTAGATAATATACAGTTTTGTGGCATAAGAGAGACACAGTACAAATGTTTAATACCATTTAGACAAAAAGATATTAGCTTGTATTCACTTTCATACGCACTTTTAAGATGACAAAATAGCTAACAGCTCACCCTATGTCAAATAAAATTTAATACTTGTTTTTTTACAGACACCAAGAGTAGTAGAAGGGAGAGAATAAATACTTCTAGGCACATTTTATAGGCCTAAAACTTCTTTTTGCATTATCTACTAGATTTTACATCTATATATGCTTTGCTTTTTTGAGCAAATCATAATTGATTATGATGTTAACACCTGGACTGAAAGCTTTAGATATATTTAATTTTTATATATATGGAGTTAGTTTGCAAGTTTATCACTGCAATGACAACCTGAAGAGGGAGAGAATAAAGTCTTCTTTGTCAGGTTTAAACATGGATTTAAATCATAGAAGCATAATGGATAACCCAAAGAGAGTCTCGCGGCATGAGCAAAAACAAGTAAGAAACAAAATATGCACCCACAAGATTTATCTACCTGGTTCACAGTGTCTAGTAAGTAGATGCTGTATTCATTCCAGGTCAGCACCCATCCTTCTCGGAAAAAGCATGAAACAAGCCCAAGGTGTTTCTCTGGGGAGCTGTAACCTCCTCTGTCAGGTGGTTCCAAACGAGGATACAGTTCAAAAGTTTTTATTCCTCCAGCAAATACATCTTTCAATATGAATGTGGCCTGAACAGTTCCGTGAACATCAGACTTCCAGAGACGAAGCCCAGGTCTGGCAGCAAATAGTGTCAGGTCACTCTGTTTACACAGGCCAGGTATAAAACATGCTCCAAATTTGCCAGTGCTAAAATGCAAAAGAATTTATTTTAAAAGCTATATACTCAACTTAGAAACAATTCTGAAAACTAGTGGCACAAATTTACAAGTGCAAATTATCAAAAATAAAAGTTCTGTTCTTTGACTAAAGTAGTCAGTCAAATGTCTGAAGTACAAATTTGGTTACAGTAAGACAAGAACAGTGCTTCCAAACAACAACAGTTTTCCCTCAGCTTTAGATGTCAGTACATCTATTAGGTAAGTTAAATGACTCCTCCTAATAAGCTTCACAGCCATAACTCTATTCTTTGTCCATCTCAGAAAGATCCTACTATGCAGTTATCCTTCTCCCGGAATAAAAACCAAGCAAAACACTACAAACTAATGCTAAGAAACTGATAACCTCTGCTTGCAAGAAGCAAGGAACAGACCTCAACTGTTAAAAATCTTCGTATCTCATGCACAAAAACACTATCACTCTATCACCCAAGAAAACCCCTCATACATAAGATGGTCCTTGGTATTCCTCTTACTATTCATATCCCTGAAAGATAAATTTTAAACCTTCTTTCAAGCGTCAATTTCCTCTATTTCCAGATACAGTCAGTCATGCTGGTCTAAGACTGGGTTCCCTCTTCCTTCATATCTGAGAGATTACACAATAGAAGATGCCAGAAGGTCATACGAGAAGTTCCCAGCTTTCAAGTCAACTTGAAGTGCTTGCTATACATTTTCCCTTATAATTCACTTCATTGTATAAGAAAAATTCGGACACTGACTTGTTTTTTGCATCAGATATTACATCACCCATTAGATGGACCCGATTACAATGCTTGCTCACACCAAGTCACAGCAAACCAAGAGGAACTGCAATAGAAGTTTGGCAGTTTAAACAATGAGAAAACATCTTAAATATTTTTTTACCTAAGAGCCCTGAAAACATGGCTGTAGCATATTTGCAACCATGTACTTTCTAAGGAGGTAGAATTGCCATTTCATGTTTGAGCACGCATAGATACTGTAACTAACTTTTTATGAGCTGACTGCTGTGTTGTATTAATTTCATTGCTTAGACCGCTCTTTCTGTAATCCACTCTGAAAAGGTAGAATTAATAGATGTGCCTGCATCAAGATTTTATGAGGGTTACTTTTTTCTGGGCTGGGCTCCAACTTGCTTGACAGATTTCTCTTCTGTGTAAAAAAGTACAGTCCGTTGTAAAGTAGAGACAAGCAGCACTTTCTGGTTGTAATCCAACTGGACAATCGAAGATGGCTCTTCCAATACAAGGCTGGAGTTGCAAATACCCTTTTAGAGATATATGCAATTAATGAAAGTCAACCTTTCTAAAATACAAGGTAATAAGTAACACTTCAAAGAAATTAATAAGCCCAAGAAAGAGAAAACACCCAAACAAAAGCTTTTGAACTACTGTTGCACAAAGTTCATGAATGTGGAGTTCCTTTACGCAGGCAAGAGGGGAGTTAGATTGTGTGTACCACAGTGGCACACTATGAAATTCAATTTCTCTTGGAATATTAGCTAACACTTTTCACTTGAAATCAACAGACACTCTAGGACACATTTTCTTCCTTCTTCTCCACTGCCAGGTCATGCAATGCTGAGACAATCGTTAAATTTGGAAATGTTAAACCTTTCTGTCAAAACAAATGACAGACAGTCATAGGTAAATCAGGATAGCTGTTGTTTAAACTTTTCTCTCATATAGAAATTGAGGTTAGTACTTTTTTTGTTGATGTCTCAGATCTGTGTTAATTAACAGGACATTAGAAAAATTCCATTTACTGGTAGCATACTAGTCACCTAGTAGAACCCAAATACTACTTTCGTTCTACACTCTAGACTGAGATGCTGAACAATTCTGAAAAAACTACTTCATCAATATAATGAATCAGCAAGACCACATCATTCAAAAGTACCCTTTCCAAGCAAAAGAGAAAGTACTGGCTGAAAGCTAAAGGAAGATATGATAGTTATTTCAGGCAGAAACCTGATAAAGTGAGAAGGATCACCACTTTTTTTGATATATATTATTTTTTTAAAAAGGTAAGGCAGTTGCAAAGGATATCCAATGGTTGTCTTACTGGGTGTGTACACACTTGGCCAAGTGTACACATACCAATAAAGCAGTCCAACTAAATACATGATACTAAGCGATTAACTAACTCCTAATATTTAAACACACAAGCATTCTTTCAGAAAATTGTAAATGGGAATTAAGGTCTCTATAATAAATGCTCACTTGGTCTAGGTCTAGGGCAGAGTAGACAATCTTCCCTTTGTCATCTCCAGAGAATAATTTCATTCCATTGGGACTCCAAGCTAAAGCTGTAATGCTACTTTTGTGGATACCAGCAACATCAAATCTCCGAAGCTGTGAAACAATACCAAAGCAGTACAAGAATGAGGGGAAGAGAAAATGGAGACCCAAAGCCTATTCAGTGACTCTGACTGATAAATTGGAGATCAAGTACAAAAGTGCAGGTCATTCTAATTCTCATTCAGCACAAAAAAACACCCTAAACAAACAATCAAAAAACCCACCACGAAATAGCTCAGCCAGTTATTACAAATGAGGAATTTCTCAAAAGCATTTCTGATTAAATACATCTTTTGTAATGGAAAGCATACTTTAAGATTATTGCTTTTACAAGCTTTACATATGAAGCCTAAAACATATTCACAGATATTTCATCAGGCAAAGTTCTCTGGTTTTCACTATTAGAAAGACTCACACTAACACTCTACTAGGATTCGCCATAATACACCTCAGAGAAGTTTAGCCAAATGCAAAGATTTACCTGTTTGTTTCTTCCAGGTAATGAAGACACAAGCTGAAAAACTGCAACCCGACCTGAAGCTGTACCAACAGCAACTAGATCATCGAAACAACTCAACAGCTTTACAAAAGTAATAGATTCACACTTCCCCTGTTGAAACAAACCATACATAAAACTTGCAAAGTTAATGAGAGACAAACAGCAACTCAATTCTGAGCAACTCAGCTTCATTAGAAGAGACGAGTAAAAATTAGTATTTACCTCAAAATTATATTTTTTCATCTGGTTTAAATGTCTGCAGTAGAGATAAAGCATTCCAATGCTGCTCCCCACAGCAATGTAGTCTCCATTGGTATCAAGTGCTGTGAGATATACCACAATAGAGCGAAAGCCTTTTTGGACTTTTGTAGGAATGGCATTGAGAAGATAATACAAGGGACAAAACTCCTTAAATATAACCGGTGAAGCCACAGATGCCATAGCAAGCATTGATTGGCATCAGCAATTTTAAGGCTGAAATTAACACATCTACTTGACCACATAAGGAAATCTGAAAGACAAAAGCAAAAGACATGTCATTAACTTCTTTGGAAAGAGTAAATGGTTAACAGAAAGACACCATTTAGCAAGTAGGAATGCAGAAATCATCAGGTTTTGTTTTGTATAAAGAAAAAGCAAGTTAAAATCTTCTAGTGAATGTAAATTATTCTTAAAAGAACATTTTTTTTAAGACTAAGCTTCCTTCTTAGGTTCAGCCAATATCTAGGGATGTATGGTAACCACTAAGTGTGGGATAACCACTTTTTCTTGCAGCTGTGAGCTCATCAAAGTGAGGAAGAAATACTGCATTTGAACTCATCTGGCTAGTGAAAGAACCATGACACTGAAGAGTTCATGTAGTATGTAGATATTTCTTCATCTATCTCTACTCTCAATCCTCCCAGAGCTGAGAGCATGGGCTATTCACTGTGTTAGTGCCATACAATCAAAGTGTCAAACTAGTATTTATGCTCAACTCCTTAATGTCCCGCACCCCAAGAAAAACATGGTTGAGAAACAATTCAGTTAGAGTTACATCTGGATAATACAAATAGTCAAAACCAACCAAAAAGTAAGAACAGTGTGGGAAGAACGGGGCAATGCAAAAATGAAAGAAATCCCAGTTTGACATACACAGGAAAATATCCATGTAGCAACTGAATTTAGAAAGGTAAGTTAGCAAACAGAAAATGTACCATATGCCCATGATATCCTTTACGATTAAGCAAATAATTTCATGCTGATGAGTGACACTGTAAATATACTTAGGGGACAATTCTGGTATCTTTCTAAGAATAACAGAAATCAAGATTCTGTTTGTCTCCTTCAAGCAAAAGTTGTCATCCAAGCTCATCATACTAATAATGTACTGGGATCTTCAGAAAATGGTGATATGACCATGATGTACATAAAAATATTTTAAAAAAATTAAACCCAGTAATTTTTCTCATCGTGCAGAGACAGCTTTAACAAGAACATTTTGTAGCAGTAGCTATTCTCATGGATGGCTCTGGAACATGGAAAAGGAAAGAGACCTTCCCTTCTTGAATTTTATTTTGCCACGAGCAAGTTCAATTAACAGAATGGTTTGGAATCTGCCAAAAATACTTGCAGATTTCCAGGACAAGAACTCTGGATATCTGTAAAGATGAAAGTTTTCTACGGTTATTTAAGCTTGTAACACTGAAGATTTGCTTGAGCTTCGGCAGAGTTATAACTTCCTTAGGGAAATTAAAAACAGAAATATGCCAATTAAAGTTAGAAACACTTCTAAATGCTCAAAATTATTCTGTAAAATATTCCTACTGCAATTTGTGTGATACGTCCTACTGTGCCTAGTTTTTATTTCTCTAAGGATGGAAAATGGTATTTGTTTGGCAGCTTCACACATTGCTTACGGTGTATATCAACTAAATTAGAAAAAAATACAGCTGCTCTAGTTTAATATCTCCATTAATGTGAAAAGCTCCAGTGTCTCAATTTTCAAACTATTTCAGTTATTATGCAAGAGGATTCAGCACGCTGGCTTTGGGCCCTGCAACACTTGCACAGCAACATACAATTCCACTAAATCCAAAGGGATTACTGGCATGACATTACCTATTCAAGCCCAAGTTAGAAAAGATCACAGGAATGAAGATTGGTTACTGGACCCATATTTTATCTGTGTTACAAAAACTGCCAGTAAAAAGCTAACAACAGTTATTAGCTGTTCTTAATTGTGATAAATTTTACTGATTGCTTTTACTTCTACCACTGATCTTAGAAATTAATTCCACTCTCCTCCAGTGTTTACTACACATCATAACACCCAATTAATAAAATATCACAAGGATGAGCTGATTAATGTGTCCAAACTATTTTTGAATGAAGAGTTCCTTTCAGAGTTGTTTGCGAAGTTGACAGATAACCTCAGTGCATCACCACCCTTTTACAATATTTTCACACACCATCTATTTCCTGCCCTACATTTTAGTTCTCCTGCCCTTTCCTTCAGCATTTACTACCTTCTATCTACAGTTAACTAAATAAAAAGTGAACCGAATGCTAAAGTCTCGTTTGCTGCTCTAAACATGCTGTTTTGTCAGCTTAGTAATTTTACTTGCTGCTGGTCTTTTCTTTCTTTCTTTCAATACAATAAAATCCAGTCTTTGTCCTGAGTCTCACATGTACAAATCTTCTTCTAATCTCAACTTCTACCAGTCTCCAGCTACTGCCTCATGAATTTCACATATTTTAAGACCCCTTTGTCACCCCTACAATTCACATCTGTCATCATCCAAAGCTGCTCTTGTAGCTGGAACCATCTCATGCTCCCCAGTTGCCAAAGGACTTTGCCAGTCCTCAAAATTCTCTCTCTTAGCTTCCATCATTTACTTTTCCAGCTCAACTAAACTGTTAAAAACATAGTAATTCATTACAAACTATGGAATTATGGAAATTTGTAATATCCAGAAAAAGACTATTACTCTTTCCTCTACAACAACCCTATCTGCAACCTGATGCATGTATTTTAAGTTCACACTTAATTTAAAAAGGGGGGGGGGGGGGCAGGGGGAAGGGAGAGTTTGATAGGGTTCCCCCCCGTCCTGAAAACTTTGGGAACAATTATTTTTTTGTCATTTACTAGGTTAAATTAAAAAAACTGCTGTCAGGTTAGGGTTCTCACTCTTCATAAAGTTTATATACAATCTTATTTCAATCTTCTCTCCTGGCAAAGTTGTAAAAAAAATGAAATTAACTTTTTTTCTCTATAACCCATTCACCCTGTACACTCAAAAAATGTATTAATAAACTGTAATTTCTTGCCATCATACACAAATTAGTTTCATCTTGAGTGGTTTACAGACAAACAAAACACTTGCACTGCTTGTGTGAAAACATATAACTGAAAGCTCAAATCACCACTTTACTAAAAATAGTGCTAATTAAGTAACTTCATCTACACCAAACAAATGTATAAAGGACTAGGGAACTGCAATGTGGCCTATATATTCAAAAACTCTGAACAATACCACAGTTCTCTGCTTTTGACCCTGAAGTGTTCAACATCCCCTTAATCACAGGTGTGTATCACATGTAATCTCCTTCTCTTTATTAACAGCTTTAGGATTATTTGTTGTCTGTTTTTCCTACTTCATTAATCAAAGGCAAAGAGTGGCTATAATCTATTTTCTCAGACAGATTTTGCAATTGGATGCACATGCTCACTCTGTGTCAGCCACAGTTATTCTGAAGTACGTAACAGCCGTACAGGGCAAATCAGCTTGTGCTAAGCAGCTATCCTGCAGGACAGATAAAGTAGAGAAAAATACCTTATGTTGCACATCAAAAACAATCACCAGGCAACAAGAGTCCTTCCTTCTCAACTCGCAAAGTTCACAACAAGTTTTTAAATATTGCATTCAAGTCCATGTTTTGAAAAGCAAACTTCTAAAAATTTTCTCTAGTCTCAGAAACAGGAAAAAGGCTCAATGCTGCCTAACAGAGGCAACTAAAGCGAAAGATAATCCCATGGCTAAACAGATAGGCAGTGGTTAAAGGTTCAGTACCAGGCTATGCCACAGATTGACTGCAGGAGGCTAAAGCTGACACTGCATTTCTCTAAGCCCAAGTGTCCTGTCTGTACAAGAGGGACAACAGCTCTCTTTTTTTTATTCTTTAGCATAAAAAACTTAAAGTTAAGCTCTTCAGAGCATGGACAAACTCATATATATTACCACAGCTAAACACAACAGTGACCACAGCTAAACACAACAGTCTCTGATCTCGGCTAGATCCCATCAACTAAAAAGAAAAGCGGTTTTATTTTCTAATACTTCTCATATTTTTAGCCTAAGGAGCGGGCTACCCGACTGCCACGTCCCCAGAGCTTTTCCCAGCGAACCACTGCCAGGCAGAGGGGAGAACACAAATTCACAGCCCGCTGAAACGAGGAGCTCCGCTTTCACGCAGCCCGTTTGCAGGCAGAGGACCACCCAGCACACAGATCGCGACTACCTGATGAATACGCCTGTCGCTCTTCACGGCTCATGAGATGTCGCATTTTCGGGTCGAAAGTTTGTTTTGAAAGAAAAAAACAAAACACAAACCTCGGTGACAGAGGCGGAAAGGACAGAAAATGGAGCACCTGGCGCCACTGCCCCTGCAGGTACACCAAGGGGGGCAGCGGAAACCAGGCTTTACTCTGATTGTCTCGGGACACCCAGTTTCTCTGGGAAGCCTTCCTGCCTTGAATGCATCTCTGTATTCTGGCAGATGTTTCAAACCATTTCTGCGTAACACTCTGCTTTCTAGCACTTAAGGGACTGCAGCTCCTGACAGGCGAGGA